TGCCTGGCATGGAGGAGGGGGGGTGGGGGGCACGCAGTAGGTCTGTGCTGGGCGGGTGTGGATCCCGATGTCGGGGAGCGGTGGGTGTGGGCGCTTGAAGGCTGGTGGGTCTCCCACCAGCACCCGCCCCGGGCAGCACCCTCTGTCCCCCCTTCCGTCCCCCCATCATCTGCTCCTGCCGTGCGGTCACTGTCCTGGGCCCCGTCTTCCCATGTCCTCTCCGTCTGTTCCCGTGTGGGCCTCGCCCTCAAGGCTGACGAGGCAGGGCCGTGCGTGCGAGTGAGGCCGCTCCTGCGAAGGTTGCTGAGCCCGGCTCTGGGCTGGGCAGGGGGAGGGCCCGCGATGCCTGCCTGTTGTTTCCGCCTCTTGGGGGGCCTGCTGGGGAGGGGGGCTGCCGGTGGTCCCTCTCGGGAGCTTCTCTGTGGCGCTGTGCCCCGTCCTGTGTGTGGCACCTGGACGTTTGTTTACGGCCGGCAGTGCCTGTGACTCGTCCCTGTCGATGAGGCGGCTTCTGACTGGCTGGTACCTGTGTGGGGAGGAAGAACGACTGTGAAACAGAGGCCACTGTCCCCGGGCCCCGGGCCCCCGGGAATCCTGCAGGAGGGACAGGGCGGGCCGGGCTGGGGGGCGTGGAACGACTGTGAAACAGAGGCCACTGTCCCCGGGCCCCCGGGAATCCCACAGGAGGGACAGGGCAGGCCGGGCTGGCAGGAGTAGGTCTCCAACCCTTTTTAAAAGCCAAGTGGCTGCTTAGTCTATGGAGGCGTTACCTTTCCGAAGGGCTTGCTTTATTGCAAGGGTTGACAGGTGCTCCTGCCGGGACCCCAGTTCCCGGGAGCCTTCACGGACACCCCTAAAAGGCTCGCGCCAGGGGATGGGAGAGGCCTGCCAGCAGTCGGCTTTTCTGGATGCGTGTGAGGACCTGTTACGCCGCTCAGCCCGTTAGAGGGGGGTGCTCCTCGTGAGAACGTGAGGTTCCTGACGACGTTTCGGTCGGGCCTCGATGTCTCAGAAGTTTGCCCCCCCCACCCCCGCCCGTCCTCCCAGACGGAGGGTCCGAGCTGATGAGACGGCCTTCGGAGACAGCGGGGGGGCTGGTCGGCTTTCTAAGGCCTCCGTTTAGCAGCCTCTTCGACACGGGACAGGGAGCCCTTGCAGAGAAAGGAATCAGACTTCATTCATCCACATTCTCTGTCCAGCTGATTGCTGGCCACTCAGGGGGACGCGTGGATGCGAGCAGCCGGGCACACACTTTCCACGACAATGGAGAGAACAGCTGGGGGCGGGCGCGGTGACAGCCGAGAGGGAACCAGAGTGAGGGGGCAATGGACAGGCAGCAGTCACCTCCCCAGCTCATCTGATCGCCCTGAATTTCAGGGTCGCGGGTCGTGTGGCAGGGCCAGTCCTGGGGCGCTGGGCTCTTCGTTGCTCTGCCCCCCTCCCGCCCCCCTCCAGGCCTTACCCATTTGCCCTTGGAGAAGAGCTATTTGTATCTCAGCGCCGCACGGTCTTGCCAGTTGGAGTATTTGGTTTCCAGACACGTCTGTGTGTTCGTATGGTGAGCACATTTGCAGTCCGAGGGGAAAGGGAGGCAGGAGGACGGAAACTTCCTTCCACGCTATCGAAAGGGTTTGCACAAGGACTTCCGGGAAGGAGCGCTGGCGGCTACATCACAGAGCACGTCCATGAGGGAGAGCTGGGGGAAAAACCGGTTCCTTTTTCTTTTTCTTTAAGAACAAGCATTAGAGATTTTGACGTGGGGATAAACAACAGGGTGAGATTTCATTCAGGCTGGTTCTGGGCTTGGTTTTCTGGCCTGGTAGGTGGATTAATGGGTTGAGTTTGGCTGGTTGGGTGAGGGATTGATTGGTCATTGAGTTTGGTTGGTTGGTTGAGTTCAGTTGGTAGGTTGACTTTGGTTGGTTGGTTGAGTTCATTCAGTTGGTAGGTTAGTTGAGTTAGGTTAGTTGGTTGAGTTTGGTAGGTTGGTTGAGTTTGGTTGGCTGGTTGAGTTCAGTTGGTAGGTTGGCTGGTTGAGTTTGGTTGGTGAATTCAGTTGGTAGGTTGGTTGAGCTTGGTTGGTGAGTTTGGTTGGTAGTTTGGTGTTAGGTGTGTGTGTGTGTGTGTACACACACATAAGTAGGACACATTACAAGCATTTTAGTGTCTGTACTTTACAAGTAGGACATTCAGAACCCAACAGAATCGTTTGGTCCCTGCCATGCAGAACAATGGGGACTCTGAGTCCAGGTTCGCACACCCACCTAGGAGCTCACACACAACATAGAAACAGGTTCCTCAACTTGACGCTCTGTCCACAAAGGCATTTCCTGGTAGTTGACCTGACGCAGTGCCTCTGGCTCACCTGAGCGAGGTCCCTAAGTGGGAGCCCGGAAGTGCCCAGGCTACGCCCCCGGGCAGGGCTGCCTCCCCACAGCAGGGGCAGGACTGAGCCCCTGCGGCTCCTTTTTGGGGTGAAATACCAGACAAGCCTCCTGGTGAATGGATTTCCCTCCAGGAAAGCACTGGGGCTTGGACGGGGTGAGGAGACAGGAAGGGGCGGGAGGAGTGGCCCTGGGGGGGCCAGAAAAGAATTTTGAGGTACAAACCAGCCTGGCCCTGGGTTTCTCCCCGGGGCCCTCGCTGGCCCTGCGGCTGCTGCTTCTTGAGACGCCTGCCAATTCCCCTCCTTTATGTCCAGAAACCAAAAGCGTGTGTTGGTTGGTTTTGACGCAGCCCTAGGACCCTGGAAATGAGTCTGCTTGTGCGTGCGTGTTTTTAATTAACACCCTGTTAACTTATAAATATATATAAATACACTTACTGATCGCAGAGCGGAAGGGAGAGGGAGAGAGAGATAGAAACTCAATGATGAGAGAGAATCGTGCGTGTTTTTAATTAACACCCTGTTAACTTATAAATATATATAAATACACTTACTGATCGCAGAGCGAAAGGGAGAGGGAGAGAGAGATAGAAACTCAGTGATGAGAAAGAATCATGGACCGGCTGCCTCCTGCACGCCCCCCCCACTGGGGATCGAGCCCGCAACCCGGGCTTGTGCCCTTGGCTGGGAATCACACCGTGACCTCCTGGTTCACAGGCCCGAGGCTCAGCCACTGAGCCACGCGGGCCGGGCAGCCTGTGCCCCTGTCCTTCCAGGCTCACGGTGAGGCGCTCTCCTGTCTTTTGCAGAAATGGGAGCAGATCGAGGGCAACTCCAAGCTGCGGCACGTGGGCAGCAACCTGTGCCTGGACAGCCGCGGGGCCACGGCGGGTGGC